GGGGAGGCAGACATCCTTATAGGAACCTGTTTTGGGGGGCAAATTGAGATGGGGATAGAAGGGTCAGAGCACTAGGTGATTTGGGTTAGTCCCTACCCTCAGTGCCACAGCCTCTGTATTTAAAATGATCAGAGGGAAAGTCTCTATCCCCAAGGCTCATTCTAGGCCTATGATTTTTTTTTTTTATGTGGGGGCCCAGGATCCACAGGCCAGTCTACCCTCCTAACGTGGAATTATCTAGGGACAGGGAGTTGGCTCTCCTTCCCCTGTGCAGACTGGAGAGGAAAAGAGGCAGTCTCATGGACCCATCTAAGGGAGGTCCCCACCCCCATCCACCCCATGGTTCAGTCTGGCCTGCTGCTGGACTCGCATGTTGCTGGGGTGACAGCTTAAAGGCCAGGATCTTCTCTGCAGGATCCAGAGGCCGGATGAGTAGGTTCTGGGGGCAGGACTGGCTCCAGTCGTGCCCGGAGAAAACAAGCCTGGGTCAGGCCATGGGAGAAAGCAGGAGTAGGCCTGGCCCAGAGGCCCGTCTGTGGGCGACACCTGCTAATACCCTTCATGGCCCAGTTTCCCAAAACACTCGTCCTTGTCTTTCTACCACCACTCTCCAGGCTCTTCACCTTCCTCCTTCCCTCAGCCCCAGAGCAATCTAATGGGTCCTGCAAGAATTATTGGGAAAAGATCCAGATTCTGGAATTCAGGTGGCCTGGGTGAAAATAACATACAAATAGTATTAAACTGTCATTAAGTACCAGGCACTGTGCTTAGGGCTTTTATGTGTGTTACCTACTATCCTACGAAATAGGTACCACTATTAATGGCGATTTTGCAGATGAGAAAACAGGATCAGAGATGTTATATCACCTGCCCAGAGTCCCACAGCAAGCAAGTGGCAGGATTTGAACGTTGGCAGTCTAGTTCTAGAGTCCAGATTTATACCAACCGGGAACAGGATCCAGGCAGGTAATATGGAAGCCAAGTTGGTTTTGTGGGGACTGTGGCTATAAAGAGACCCTGCCCTGTTCAAAGGCAGCAGCCACGACTCAACTCTAGCTGATAGTTGTCATGGAAGAATGTGGACCGGGTGTAACCAGATCCTCCAAATTTTTAAGAGGATCTGGAAATTGGGATATTTCTATGAAATATCTTGGGTTTTATTTATTTTTTTATCCTCACCCGAGGATTTTTTTTCCATTGATTTTTAGAGAGAGTGGAAGGGAGGGATGAGAGAGAGAGAGGGAGAGAAAGAAATATTGACATGAGAGAGACACATTGATTGATTGCCTCCCTCCTGGATGAGGTCCCTTTCCGAACCCAGGGGATGGAACCTGCAACTGAGGTATGTGCCTTTGACCCTTGACCAAGAACTGGGAATCGAACCTGTGACCTTTCGGTCTCTCTAACCACTGAGCATCCTGCCAGGGCAAAATCTCTTGAATTTAAAAATTGGCAACTTAATTCTTGGGTTCATGGTGTGCCAATTTGCAAACTGGCCTTGGACTTTAGTGTTAACTCTAATAATAACAGCAAACACTTAGTGCTTACTATGTGCCTTGCACTATTCTTATCATTTGATGTCTATTAATTTTCACAATTTTATAAAGCAGATAGGTGCTATTATCAATCCCCATTTTCCAGATGAGGCAATTGAGGCACAGAGAGACTAAGTCACTTGCTCAAGACTACACAGCTTGTAGATCTGAGAATGACCCCAGGCAGCCCAGCTCCAGAATCTGCTTTTTAACCCCTATGTTTATAACGAGGTAAGATTGTCAGAAAAATGTCATCCAGCTGTTTTAATAGTGAGGTGGGGGAACTAAGGCCCAGACAGGCCAGAGCCTTCCCAAGGCTGCCCATTCGTTCACTCGACAAAGACTGAGAGTCTTTTTTTTTTTTTTCAATCTTCATCCAAGGATATGTTTTTATTGCTTTTTAGAGAGAAGAAGTCTATGGCCATACCACCTGGAATGGGTCCGATCTCATCTAATCTCAGAAACTAAGCAAGGTTGGGCCTGGTTAGTACTTGGATGGGAGGAAGATGGGAGAGAGAGAGAGAGAGAGAGAGAGAGAGAGAGAGAGAGAGAGAGAGAGATATTGATTTGCTATTGGTTGCCTCCCGTATGCACCCCAACCAGGGATCAAACCCAAACCTAGGTATGTGCCCTGACCAGGAATCAAACCTGCAACCTTTTGGTGTATGGGATGACACTCTAACCAACTGAGCTACCTGGCCAGGGCAAGACTGAGAGTCTTTCTGCCAGGCACTCTTCTAGGTCCTAAGGATACAGCCTTGCTACTGCTCAGGAAGTTATAGACACTGAATCCATCCCTCTTGTCCCCACAGGTGGCCATGGTGGAAGTACAACTGGAGAACAACTACGAATACCCACCAGGCCTACTGGTGGCCTTTAGTGCCTGCACCACTGTACTAGTGGCTGTGCACCTCTTTGCACTCATGGTCTCCACCTGTCTGCTGCCCCACATTGAAGCTGTTAGCAACATCCACAACCTCAACTCTGTTCACCAGTCTCCACACCAGCGACTCCACCGCTACGTGGAGCTGGCCTGGGGCTTCTCCACTGCCTTAGGCACCTTCCTCTTCCTCGCTGAAGTTGTCCTTGTTGGCTGGGTCAAGTTTGTGCCCATTGGGGCCCCCATGGGCAAGCCAGCACCTGTGGTACCTGCCTCCCAGGTGCCTGGGACTCTGCCACCAATGGCCACTTCCCTGAGTCCAGCTTCTAATCCACCCTCTGCTTCAGTAGCCCCTCCACAGGCTGCGCCATCTGAGGCCTGCCCACCCCAGCAAGCATGTGGTGGTGGTGGGGTCCATGGGCCAGGATGGCAAGCAGCCATGGCCTCCACAGCAATCATGGTACCCGTGGGGCTGGTGTTTGTGGCCTTTGCCCTGCATTTTTACCGCTCCTTGGTGGCACACAAAACAGACCGCCACAAGCAGGAGTTAGAGGAGCTGAGTCGCCTGCAGGGGGAGCTACAGGCTGTGTGACGGGTGTGTTAGCCACCAGTTACAAGCACTGCCTTCTTCAGGGGTCAGCCGGAGGCGCCTGGTCTAGACCACTGTTCCCTGACTGCCTGGAGGCACTTCTTGTGGACACTCTTAGGTAGAGACCAGATTCCTGACCTCAGGGTCCTTTGGGCTGGGCCTGGGGGCAGCTCCCACATTCCCCGGGATTCTCCTTGTTAGCCGGTCCCATGAGTTTTGTTCTACACCGGGGAGGAGCAAGGGAGAAAGTGGAAGGTCTTCAGTCTAAGGTTCATACACAAAGTGGAAGAAAGGCAGAGAGACCCTGGTCAGACCTGTGGTGCTGACCCCTAGCCACTTGCCCCTATACAGGATGTGGAGGTCAGATTACACGCCCACCCAACTGCCCTAGAAGGCAGCCAACCCTTCCCTTATTTTTATTTGTTAATTTTTAAAATCCTCACCTGAGGGTATTTTTTCATTGCTTTCTAGAGAGAATGAAAGGAAGGGAGGGAGGGCGAGAGAGAGACATCCATGTGAGACAGACACATTGACTGCTTGCCTCCCACACTTGCCCCAACTAGTCCGGGATGAACCTGCAAGCGGTACATGCTCTTTTTTTTTTCTCTTCCTTTTGATTTCAGAGAGGAAGGGAGAGGGAGAGAGAGATAGAAACACCAATGATAAGAGGATCATTGATCGGCTGCCTCCTGCACACCCATGATCTCCTGGTTCATAGGCTGATGCTCAACCGCTGAGCCACTCTGGCCACACCTATCAGTCTTGATGGGTTTCACACTCTTGCTTTAGTTGTTCTAGAGAGGGATTGGGTGTTCTGCCCGGGCATAGGTCCAGCCTGTTCTAGAAGGAGCCTCCCTATTTTTGGAGGTTCAAGTGCCTGTCCAACTCCCCAGACCCACAATTAATGCTTCTATATCTGCTGTGCCAGTCTTGGGGGTCTTTGGAGACTGAGGGCCTGTGTTCCCAGCTTGACTCCCTGGTAAGGGATGGGGTGAGGTTTTAAGGGGGGTCCAGTCCCTAACCCTTGGAATACAGAGCTATTCTGACGCTGAGTTTTTGATGCACCTTGTTTGTATAATAAATTGTGTTTCACAGATGTGTCTGTGGCTGTGAATGGAGGGAAAGGGAGGCTTTCTTAGGATTGGGCGCCTTGTTCCTAAGAGACCAGTAGAGACTGGGTGCTGGGCAAGGGTGTGGGAGAGTAGGTTCCATGTGTGGCCCCCTTCTGGCCAGTAGCCTCTGAATGTAGAGCCTGAGTCATTCCAAGGCAAAGGGCTTTTGCGCTCTTGTTCCTGAGCCCAGGGTCTCTCTTCCACTGAGGATTTAGTATGTTTCTTTTACTCAAGTTTTTTCCTTTGTGTGACTATTACATAGTAGGGGCTTTTCACAGGTTATCTCATTTAACCCTCATAACCACCTAAAGAGACAAGTCTTTCTTATTTCCATTTCAGAGGTAAGGGACCTGGGGTCCAAGAGGCTGAGGATCTTGCCAGAACCACACCGCTCGTCAGTGAAAACTTGGGTTACCTTTGCCATCACATGGGGAATCTCTTTCTGTTTGACTTGAGAAAAGGAGCCAATACCTTTCAACTCGGACGAGAAAGCAGTATGATCTCATCACCCATGCTTCCATGTGAATTCATTTTTTCAGCCTCGTTTTCCTCGAAAATTTAAAAGGTCCCAGTCCTCTCTCTTCTATTCTTACGGTGTGACATCTTGAACAAGTACCCCCCCCCCTTTCTCTTTTCCTACTGCTTAAAATGATAAATGTGCATGGACAAGGCTTCCAGGGCCTGTCCTATGCTTTTTTTTATGCCTACATTAATCCTGCGTGACATCAATATCCATTTCAGAGTAAGAATCTGAAGCTCTGAGAGGTCAATGATTTGCCCAAGGTAATGCAGCGAGAGATGTAGACAGAGATGTCTGGGACCTAGCGCACCCTCAGCTCAGGCAGAGGGGCCTCCTGGGTATGCCATTACCTGGAGACCAGAATACCCAGCGTCCAAGACAGAAATAAAGGGTGCCCAGCCCCGGGCGACCGCAGGCCCCGGGTCCCACCGTAAGCCTGGAACGGTGCTGCCCTCGAGCGGCGAGACCGCGTAAGGCTAGCCAACACCCCCCCGCCCCCCTGCCATCCCGTTGAAAACGGCGGGCACTGGGACCACGATGCGCCCCGCTCACCTAGTTCCTGTAAAGCCGAGTTTACTTTTTACAGGACCCACTCGAGGGTCTGCAAGCCCCACCGCGTTTATCATCCAACTTTGAGACTAGTAGTGGCCGAGTACAGGCAAAAGGCGGAACCCTCTGCAGGTCTCAGTCTCCCCATCTGCCAAGTGGGCATCTTAAGCAGCCAGTGGCCCAAGGGGGATCGCGAAAGGAAAACGCTCTCTGCATTATGTGCGGCGCCAGGCCAGCAGCCTGAGTCACCGCTGTTGGTTGTCGTTTCCATCTCACGGGCGCCCCTCCCAGGCCGCCCGGTTTCGGTGGGTCCTCCAGGAAGAGCCCCGCGACGCCGGGCCGCACGCTGGCCACGCCCTCTGCGCAGGCGCCGCAGCCCCGCCCACAGGCTCGCAGATTCGTGAGGCCGGCTCCCCGGGATTACTCAGGCCCCGATGCTCAGCCGGAAATCCTCATCAGACTCTAAGGAGCTTTGGGCCATAGCCACTTTCCTCGGGTCGGAGTTGGGCAGTCCCCCGAATTGTATTGGAAGAAAATCCAGAAAAGTGGCTGACTTGCCAACAGGGCTTGCCTAAACAGGCATTATTTTCTTGACTTCACCCAAGCGGGTAAAGGGAGGCAAGAGCTGGGGCCAGAAGCTGTGGCGAATCTGCAGCCTCTGGGACGTTTGGCCGCGCAAGGAAGGGGCAGGCAAGAGGAGCAGAGGAGCCCGCGTCTCGTCCACCCATTCGCCCCGCCCGCCTGACGAATCTGCGCCCGTTCAACGCGCCACTCAAATCTCCCCAGCTCTGCCTGGCCGCCTCCCCTTCGCCCCGCCCCCTTTTCCTCGGGGACTAGCCGCTGCTTTCATCGCCGCCGATTCGTCAACGGCCCCAGGCCAGAGCAGCTGGACAGTCGTGGTGAAGCCCACTCTCCGGGGGATGCGGCCAATCTCCAGGCCCCCTAGGCTGCAATTCTCAAGCCTCCTAGGGCGCCGGCCGAGGCGAAACCGTTATCCTCGGCCCCGTTGGTCTCCCAGTGGCGTCCGTGGCGAAAGTGCGAATGTCGACGCTGTGCCTGCTGGGCCTCGCGCAGGTGGCGGTGGTGTTTGGTGCGCGCGCCGGGGAGGTGGTGGTGGGGGGGCGCCGCCGCCGCCACCGCTGCGGGGCCGGGTCTCGCGCTGCCGCCGCCGCCGCCGCCGCCTCGCGCCACTAAGGTGCCGCGCGGGGTGGGGGGAGGGGGAGCCGCTCGACACGAGCGGGTGAGTGGGGCCGCGCCGCGTGTGCGCGGGGATGGGGGGGGCAGATCGCACTGGGGGGAAGAGAGGGCAGCGGTGCGGCGTTCCCCTCCCCCCCCCCCCCCGCCCAGATTCGGGGCCGAAGCCGGGTCTCGGGCTCGGTCTCGCGGTGTTTCCAACGCCCCGAATAGGTGCCACCTCTTGGCGAGAGGATCGGGGCGCGGGGACCCGAGCGGGTGTGTGGGAGCGGGAGCCGGGCTTGGCCCGGGCCGCTGGCCGGTGAGGAGGCGGGAGGGGGCGGGGCCTGCCAGGGGGCGGGGGAGGGGTCTTGCTCGGAGGGCAAGTGGGGCGCGCGCTGGGTAGAGCTGGGGGCACGAGATGGGCCTGGTGGGCTGAGGGCAAGAGTTGAGAGGTGGAGAGAATGTGTTGTTACGCTGGGAGAGTGTACTTGGAAAATCCGGGGGAGCCACGGGTCCTGGTGAGGTGCGGACCCCGGGGTGATGAGCGAACCTGGAGTCGGGGCCAGGCGGTGCGGGGCAGCAAGGGAGTCAGGCCCCCGAGCTGAACCCCCTTTTGGATTGCTCTCGTCACAGTGTAAATGAGCAAAGATGGATCAGGAAGGTGGGGGAGATGGGCAGAAGACCCCGAGCTTCCAGTGGCGAAACTACAAGCTCATCGTGGACCCTGCCCTGGACCCTGCCCTTCGCAGACCTTCTCAGAAGGTGTACCGCTACGATGGAGTCCACTTCAGTGTCAACGTGAGTGCCCAGCCTGTCCGGCCCCCCGGAGCCTCCCGGCCCCTTCTCCTGGGGGCTGCTCAGCGCCCAGCACGCCCCTGTCCAGAGCCTGCCTCCGAAAAAGCGGTTCACCAGAACCCAGCTGCTTTGCATATGGGTCTCCAAACGGGCTTAGAGCTCAACGTGTGGTTTCACCTTGAGCTGTCTTTCTGTTCCTGCTTTCCTTCCTAGGACTCAAAGTATATTCCAGTCGAAGACCTGCAAGACCCCCGTTGCCACGTCAGGTCCAAAAACAGAGACTTTTCCCTCCCGGTCCCTAAGTTTAAGGTACGTGTCTGCTGGTGCCGTGGTGTGGTGGCCCTTGGAGGGTGTGCAGGCTCCATCCTGGCCGTCTCGTCTGAATGTCGCTGAATAAGAGGGTTTTCCAGCGACAGGATCACGGCCAGGTCTGACCGTCTGTGAGGCTGTGGGACTGAGTTGTTCTGGACAGGAAATCTATTTATCTTCCGTGGGTGAGATGTCCCAAGCAAGGGGTTGACTCCTTGAATGACATAAAGATGTATTTAGCTGCTGTACTTACCACTATGTATTCCTAGACAGTATATGTATTCCTTGACAGTGCTCTGGTCTGATACCCCAGTTTCCCAACAGATAAGGGGGTGATAAAGCCAGGGGCTCCATCCCTGGAGTCCTCGGTTCCTCCCCTCTCCTTTGGCCATTTG